AGAGAGAGAGAGAGAGAGAGAGAGAGAGAGAGAGAGAGAGAGATCAAGAAGAGCTGCAAGTGAAGAAAGAAGTAGGGCCTAGTGAGGTCCTTGAGATTAAAAGCAGCTTTGATATGAAAGAAATACAAAAAGAGTTGAGATTCTCTCTCAAGAGAGAATTTTAACCTTAGCATGAACTATCAAGTGCTAGATTCTCTGAGGCAGAGTAAAAACCCAGGCAATCCGGCTTCAGGATTCCAAACATAAAGGTAACAGAAGAATGAAAACAACAACTATTTTAAAATTAAGGAAATATTGACAAAAGCAAAGTAGAATAAAGTGACTGTTGCAGTTACTCCTCTCTGGTTGCTGGGACAAATACCCAACTCCCAAAATGAAGGAAGGAAAGGTTTATGGAGCTCCCAGTCACTGGAGGTTTCCGTCCACACTCGACTGGCTCCAAGGCCAAGTGGCACAGGGCCGAGAGCATACTTTTCTGGCAGCAGCAAAGAGCAAGAGCAAAACGAAGGAGTAGCAGCAACAATGGCAACAGAAAGCAAGTCTCTCTCCTTTACATTGCATTCAGGCTACCGCCCCCGGCTCACACCCATAATCCCAGCAGTACTAAAACCCATAATCCCAGCAGTACTAAGACCCATAATCCCAGCAGTACTAAAACCCATAAGCCCAGCAGTACTAAGACCCATAATCCCAGTAGATCATGCATTAGTCTCAAACTCTAGAAGTCCCCTCCCCATCACTGCATGAGGCTTTCGGGGGACAACTAGACACAAACTGTAACAGTGACTAAACTTGTAACAAGGTGACCCATCAAAAAGTATCAAGTTATAGGTTTAACAACTTAGAGAACTAAAAATAAAAATTATTTTACACAATAATTTCTTCTGAAGGATGGGACTACGCTAAACCCATTCATCCTATTGTGCATGTATAGCTTTTAATTTTTAAAAACTGGAACATGGATGGCAAAGCCTGAACCATAAATGAAAAGATTGTACTTCTCTTTATACTAGGAAATGATAACAAAGATTTTAATTTCTAATAGTTGTAGGAAAGAATGTCATCCATGGACCAGAAAAACTAAGAATGACTATCTGGAAGACAAAAACAATACACCAGCAATTGTGAGAGCCCCAGGCCTGGAAATAGCAAGTGGTTGTAAGAAATTGCGTGTTTAAAAGTAAAAATAGCTAAAGGTTTACCACTAAAGCGGAAACCACCATGAAAGAAGATTGGGGAGAAAAATTTTAAAAAAATAAAAAAGAGGGACAGATTTCAA